CAACCTGACCCCCCCTTCCTTGTCCTATTCCCTCCCGCATCACGCCTCCCCCCCATGCAGACTTGGTGTCCGCCCCCCAGGGCGTGCAGCAGGGAGCAGTGCAGCAGCAGGTGGCGAGGCACGGGGGAGTGGTGTCTGCCAATCTCAGCCGCGCCGTCACCCACGCCGTCGCACACTCGGCAGAAAGCGGTGAGATGCGATGCATGCTCTTCAGGGAGCGTGGCGTGATTAGTTAGGCGGGGTTGTGTGCGGTTAAGGATGAGCACACGTCACTGCTGTCACTGCATCCGCACACGCACAGCACATGTGCACACCATAAGGGAAGAAACAACACACCTCACGGCTGGCAGGTGCTGCATGTATGGGTGCTGCTAATGCGGCATGCACATACAGTGCACTCATCCTTGCCGTGCCATGGCTCCCTTTCCCTCAGGCCGTCGCTTCAAGGCCGCTGTGGGTGCTGGCGATGTGCTGTCGTACAATTGGCTGCAGGAGTGTCTGCAGGCCAGCAAGCTCATTCCGCCCAAGTCCAAGTGAGTGCCCGCTCCCCCTCCCCATTGCTGCTGCACCCATCACTGCTGCACCCACCTTGTCGTCTGCCGCTCGCCCTCACCTCCCTCTTCTTGACCCACTTGCCGTCACAACTGATTCCTCCTCTGCCTGCTGCTGTTTCCATTTCCCTCCACGCTCTCTTTCCCCCGTCCTCTCCTCTCGCCCCCTTTTAGGCACTATCTGCATCTGTCCCCGGGCACGGCGCAGCGGCAGCAACAGCAGATGGACGAGTTTGGGGACTCGTACACGGATGACATCGCTGACACACAAGAGCTCAAACAGGCCAGCCTGCTGCCCTGCCGCTGCTCCCTTGCTCCTTGATAGCCATGCAAACTATGCTTTGGCAGCTCTGTGCCGATGGATTCATACGTTGTGCAGATTTGTTGTGCTTGTCATGCCACTGCTCCCCACCCAACGCCACGACTTGTCACTCTGCGTTTCCCGGCAGCTCTTTGCAAGGATGCCCAAGCCAGTGGCTGAAGCAGTGGACAGCAGAGACTTGGCTCGATACCGGCAGCAGATGTGTGTGGAGTCCGGTGCCGTGAACACGTGCATCTTCCAAGGGGTCTCGCTCTTCGCACTGCCCTGCCTCCCCGCTTTGCACCAGCAGCACTCGTGGTACCACACCCACACGCCTTCTTGTTATGATAGCATAGCCTAAGCTCACTCAATCTTTGCACATCCCTCGTTACCCCCATTGCATTCCCCATTGCATGATCGCCATGCATTTGCATGCTGCGTATGCCTTTCCATGGCACTCCTTCCTCTCCTCCGCTCTCTGTCCTCCTGTCTTCTCCAAGTCTTCCTTCCATCTCTATCCTTCCGCACCTCTGCATGCATGGGCCAGGGGCGAGTGGCAGTGTGTGAGTGACAGCATGGCGGGGCGCAGGGCAGTGCTGGAGGTGGAGATGGGGGGAGGCACCGTCGCGCCCAAGCTGTCAACGCACGTCACGCACCTGCTGCTGCCGCCGTGCCTTGCTGTGCCGCGCCAAGATGATGTGGCGGCTACTGTGGAGATGTATGAGGAAAGGTACCCCTTTATTTTCTCCACCCGCTACCGCCTGTGCGCATGCGCACATGTGTGTCTTCCCTGGTCTCATACACCACCCAATTCCTTGACCTCCCATCTCTCACTCATTATCATTCCTCCCCGCCCCACCCCAACCCACCTGCCCTCACCCCAGACTCACAGCATCGGAGCTTGCCCTTCTTTCTCGTGCCCTGTCAGTCCATGCGCCGTCACCACCAGCCGCAGCCACGACAGAAGAAGAAGAAGCAGCAGCAGCACAGCCACAGCCCCGCACGTCCACCCGGCAGCTTCCCCCACACGTGCCACGAGTTATCACTGTTGCATGTGTGGAGAGCAGACTAAAGGGGCAAGGGGAGGAGGGGCCCTGGGAAGGAGTTGGAGGGCCCAGGTGAGCTCTTAGACCCACGTGCTGTGCACCTGGTCTGCTTGCTGCCTTCCTCCTTTTCCTTGCCAATGCTGTCCCTTGCTGCCCCAACCACCCCTTTTTTTTCCTAATTTATTCTCGCCCTTTGCTCCCCACCCCTTGCCTTCCCACGCCCTGACACATCTGCTGCCATCCCTCAATCTCCCCAACCTCCTGCAGCTGTCCTGCTTACCCCGAATCTTCAGACGATGGTGGGGGGGAAGGGGGGCAGGACGAGGAATGGGGGAGCAGCACAGACTCAGGTGGCGCTACTGCCGCCCCTGGTGATGGTGACCATGGGGATGGTAGTGATGGGGATGGTAGTGGGAAGGAGGAGGAGGAGGATGAGGAGACGACAGACGATGAGGGCGGTGGATCAGAGGCAGGAGAGGGACAAGCGACAAGGTCGGAGGGGGTGGGTGAAGCAATGCGACAGCAGGTGGAGGAGGAGAGAGTGCCTGGTAAGATTGCCGGCAGCACAAAGGATGGTGATTGCGGGTTGAGTGGATTGCGGCCGCATTCACTTCCCAGGAGTCAGTCAGGCACAGCTGACCCAGGAGCATGTGGGGCAGGTGGATCTGGGGCAGGTGGGTCAGATGCATCTGGGGCATGTGTAAGTGAGTGGAAAGAACAAGAGCAGCATGAGAGCAAGCGATTACGGAGAGAGGAAAGGCAAGGCAATGAGGAGCTAGTTACGGTGGCAGGAGTGATGAGTGAGGGCAGTGGGGAGGCGAATGATGGTTTCAGAGAAGAGATGGATGAGATGGCGAGGGAGGGAAGCCCAGACGAGAGAGAGATTAGGAATGGATCGGGGGAGAGTGAGGAGGCAGGGAGCAGATTTGGTACTGGGAATGGGGCAGGCAAGGTGGAGAGGCGGGGAAATGATGGTGGTGAGACAGGAACAGGTGGTGGCAATGACAAGGTGAAAGGCATGCTGGACTTTTTCTTCAGTTAACCTACGTACGGTTGGTATATATCTGAACATACTCTTCAACTCATAACAATATCCTTGGCACAGGTACCTCAGATGTACATACCGGTAGTACCTAGCCCTAGTTCACTAGAGAGCACAACGTGATGATTGGTTGCATTACTGCTGTACGGTGGCCCCACAATCTTTTAGTTTTCCATGGTTACTGCGTTTTTTCCCACACGCACGATAAGCCAAAACGCTGGGGGGTTTATTCACAACATATCACAACGTTGTACAACGGCTGAGAGCTACGCCATAGAAATCACAAATGGAGGGTGAGGTCCAGGCTGGGAACGGGGTCCTCTCTGCATTCTATCGCGAGGCCCCGCTTCGAGAGAGAATCCATGAAGTCTAGGGGGAGGCTGTCATGGCTCGGACAAGGTTCTTGCTGGGAAACACAATCCCGGTTGGCAGAGCAAGAGGAATCATCCGGCTGGCTCGAGGCTGACGCCCTGGAGCACTCGACACGTGCGGCTGATGCAACTCTCGTGCCGCGCGCAGAGAAGCGCGAGCGTCGGCGGCAGGGGACTGAGAAGTACGAGCACATCCACGAGCAGCACGCCTCGGGCAACACCAGAGGCTCAGACGCCTCCACGCCGCGACAGTCACTCCCCGCAGAGGGGCTCCGGGCGCAGGGAGAGCTCGCGAGCGGTTGAGAGTGCGACGAGGCGGAACTCGATGCAGGCGCCGCGGGTTGCTCCGCGCACTCCGCGGAGGGCGTTTCGCGAGGCGGTGCTTGTCTGGTGTTGCCGCAAGGGCGCTTGGATAATTGAGGCCGAGAAATCAGAGGCCCAGCATTTCCTGAGATGCTGCTGCTTTCGGTGCTGATGCAGTCTATAATGCGCTTGGTTCCACTTTTTCCTTTCATCGTCGTCGGATGCTGCAGGGTGGTTGGTGCAACTTGGTGCAATTGGGGCTGCGATTGAAGGGTCGCAAGCACCACTCTGTGTGCTGCCAAATACTCCGAGAGCTGGTTCTGAGAGTCGGTCGCGAGACTCGTTGGGAAGCGGAGCTGGCTAACTGGAAACATCCGGAATTCGAGGAGGAGATTCAAGCAGGCTGGTTGGGAGAAGGCAGAAATAAGTTGGTCGACCTTGAGTACCTTGAAGGCTGATGATGAAAAGGGGAGTGAGAGCGCGGCCTAAAATACAAGGTGGTCGGCCTGTGTGATGACTTCAGCAGTGTGTGCTCTGAGTGCAGGAGGAGAAATGGATCACAGTGGCGGTGGTGTGGTGATGGTGAGGGAAGGGTGGATGGGCTGATCAAATCATGATCGACTTCAGACTCAGTGGATGGCCGCACCGAAATGCGATCACCGACAAAAGATCCCGATGAAATCCTTGTTCGAATCTGGTTTTGACACCCCACAAATCAGGCCAACGTGGAGCATCAGGGTTCAACTTTAAGGGCGCTTGATAAATTGTTGAGGGAAGTAATTTCAACAGTGGTGTACAGAAAGGTTGACGTGCACACTGCGGCGTGTATTGCGACCAGGAGAGGTAATCCGTAGAGCACACAGTACAGTGCAAATCTGCACACAAAAAAGATTCGATCACTGCTGTTTGTGTGCGGCTACTGTATTGCCAGATCAGAGCTCAAATCCCCACACCTCGGATTTGACAGCTTTTGAAGCCCGATTGCGGCCGAGCCCAAGCGAGGACGAGACGAGACACCGCCGAGGCTGGGTGGTACAGTACACATGAGGTCACAAATGACATGATTCACAAACCAACCCTTTCTCTGCAGCGGAGGGCAGCTTTTGTGCAAAGAGACCAGATCTGATATCGTAGCAGATTTGAAGCGAGTGAGATTCCAACCAACCACGTGTTGAGGGCCATAAACGCATCAAGCACGCGGGAAGTGAGGAATCACATACACGAATTTCTCGAAACATATTATCTTCGTAGTCAAGTGTATGTACTATTAGTTATGGGACAGTTCTGTTTGCTGACAATACATCAGAATCTGCCTAGATTGGTTAAGCATGAGAACAATGATATGCGCTATGCAAAAAAACGTCTCTCTTCGTTACATTCATTTACATACACATCCCAAAGCATATACATACATCAATTTCCTTTGCATACAAGAGCTATGAAATATTATCGACCTCTTTATATCTTGCTTCTCATCTGATTAATCATTTTAATCATATATAGCATTCTTTACTTACCTTATTTCGATTGGCTAGAAAAAATGTATAATAAATTATAGTATACAAATAATGTCATATTTGGATGTGGTCTCTAATATAATATGCACCATAAGCATATGATTGATGCAAACATGGATTTCGTCATAGTGGCTAACAACATTTCTCAACTATACATCTGATTTTGGTTAAATGGAGTGCTTTTTGTGCCAGATTGATCAAATGTTAGAATGCAGTACATAGCATCTACTAGCTGGTTTGCTGAAAATACCAGTCCCCTGAATCAATTCGGAAGTAATTTTTCAACACAAATCTATGACAAATGTACTAATCAGCCCGTCTTGAGTCGGGAGTTGTTAAACGAGCAGAAAATTACTATTGAAATATGCCCTAATCAAGTTTTATTCACATCTGACAAAAAAAAAAAACAAAAGAATGGGTCAGACCCCCAAACAGCTCAGATCCTATATTATGGGACAGATAAATGAATGAACAGAACTCCAAAAAACATATGTTCGACCAACTGAACTGTTCGCCTGGGTTTGTTCAGATGGGACAAAGAGATCACCTTCATAACGCGAATTCAGTGCACTTGATGGAAATCACGTGTTAGGGACATCGAATCCGAATCATGAATGTTGAGTTGGTGTCCACAAAATGCTGTGCTCGAGTCCGTCCCAATCGGCCTCCCCCTGATGTTCATTCCCGCTCAAATACATCCAGCGCGACTTGCAAACATTGTGTTCCAGTGCCGGGCTTCAGGTGTATTTGTGCATCCCAGCTTTGGCGGTTCCATCCATCCATTGCAGACGAGACGAGACCCATCCATGCGTACAGTACATTCGGAAAATTGCTGCCCCGCCGCAATCTCGCGGCGAAGAGTTTTGGGGTCGTCGTGTGATTCGATTCTCACAGCAGTGGCCTCTAGTCGGGTTGGCGGCGGTGTGAGGTGCGGGAGGAGTACTGTACACATCATCTTGCTTTGGAGAACCCGAATCTACCACGCGACGCGCTCCAGTTCCCTGACTGACAGGTCTAAACCTGGGGCAAACAGAGTCAAACAAGAAAAACGATTATGAATTGCAACCGATAGAGTTTTTATAGTCGGGATCACAGAACATGTGGCCAATTCACGTCAGAAATTAACAATACCATGTCACGATGAAGCAATTGTTACAGCCTGTTTCAAAATTGAAATGCATCACAACACACCTTTCATACCAGGCACTACCACTCGGGGGGAACTGAGTGCAAACCTTGGATCGTCTCTGATTGGTGCAAAGCTAAATGACAACAATCTGGCAAATATTCGATACTGATTCCCTCATGTCGCGCTTCGGAGGTTCTACTAAACCATGCGACATAAGCAGAGAATGTTTACATTTTCTACACCATTCTTGCGTTAATTGTGCACGTTTAATTTCACACCCCGTGGTTTGGTTTCATGACTCGATCCAGGCGATGCATGACTTCGACAGTTGCAGGATGCCCCTGGAATCGACTAAGGGGAATGAGCTATTTATACTGCGGGGTGGCAAAGTGTGGGGGTCAGTTGGTGCAGAAGGGGCGCGTTCTAGATACGTCTTAAAGTCCGAACGGCAGATTGTACTTTGGCATTGTTGAGGTAGGTGGGCCGGCATGATGTGATTGGCTGACGAGATAAGAAGGGGGCGAAATTGTTTCTGCGAAACTTTGCCTTTGTCCAATTAGTCAATGTCGCGGGAGCCTTAGGGGCTACGAAACCTGGCAGAGGTGTCAGGTTGGAGCCCAGTCGACCGGCAGGGGGTTCACCTCGACCTCTTTGCCATGTTGCAACGGCGTTTTCCTGTCTGCTTTTTTGCGAAAACAACCTACACATTTGTTTTGTTAGGTCAAGTTGAAAAAAAAAAATCAAACTTGAATTCCTCCCCCCTTCAAGTTCGCACTTGCACAATCAATCATACTTTAACACATGAAATAAAACCGCCCGAAATTCAAACACAAAACGGGTGATTATGTTTCGAGAAAACTCTGTGTTTTCTGACCTCGATACTTGGAATGGACGCAAGCCTGCCAAGTTTGTCAAAGCACACAGTTGAGACGTTGGGATATCGTCAACCACTGCTGCGGGGAGAGTAGGTTACAGGTCTTCAAGATGCATTACCTTGAGAAAAAAAGAGTTGCAACCTGCCGGTCGGGCTTCAAGCTTCGAGTCAGGCTAAAGTCCAATGGTGTTTGACAAGGCAGTTTTGATGCTAGTATTTTGAACCCCTGCCAGATTAGTCAGTTCCCTATTGGTGGTGTAAATTCTCCAAGAATCAACTGCCTGTGCAGTCAGCAGTCAACGTACCTTTCGAGGTCCATTTCAAAGTCCGCGCCGCTCGTTCGTGGCGCCCTCCCAGTCGAATCACGTTGCGCTTGAAATTTGACTCTATAAAATTATCGCTAAATAGGTGTATCGTACACCAGGTGACCAACGAGTCTCAGAAAATTGACCGGGCCCACCCCCGAACCTGCGCCCATTCGCCACCAATCACGCGCAACGGCCCTTTCACCTGATGGCCCATTCAGTTGGGATTTGTGGCACCTACGATACGGTGGAGGCTAGCATGCCCTTGCAAAGAATTTCAAAGAATACTTATAGAACTACTTTCTACGCAAGTCAGAAATTCTAACACCAAGTTTACTTATGTGCAAAACCACCCGTGTCGAATTTATGGCGCATTCTCAGGTAGCGAAAGCTCGCGAAATAAGTGTGCGCATTACGCTCACGGGGTTCGTCTAAACCGAGGGCCAGCGGTGTGCACCAGGTGTATTTCCGTGAAATTCGTAAGGCTCTTGTAACACTTGCGACCCAAAGCAAAATGAGGTGTATGTTTTACAGTGCAGTTGAATCCCGCTGTACACATCTTCCTGTATACGGTTTGGCTGCAGGAGATGGTCGTGTGTGAGTGGTGATACTTAAAAAAAATAGCTAAAATGTTTTGGGGGGAAATTGTATTCACCTCTTCCATGCAATAGAGCCACCGTGTACCGCATACACACCTTTCTTGGTGCATCGCTAATCACCTGTCACAAAACTATCCTGTACCTTCTATTCTAGTAAATTCATTATTTTGAGATGGTATCACGCTAGGTTAGGCCCTCCCCGCCCACTCGCGCTTCCGCTCTAGCCCTAGCCTCGACTCGAGGTCAGAGCGAAGCGTATTCAGCTGCGGTACTTCCTCCTGCGCGAGCTACAGCAGCGCCGCCAGGCTCGCGTAGTACACTTGGCCTCCGGTGCCAACACAACTGATATATTTACGAAGGCACTTGCGCCTAAAGATCATCAGCGGCACTGTGTACAGCTTGGTCTAGTTCCTGTAGCCTCTCACTTGCTAAGGCCTTGACTTTGTACTGTCCTTTATATATACAGTGACGGAAACAATTGTCCAGATGGTTTGCATTAATTAGGGTTTTGGGGCTTTTCTGACCATTGTACATAAAGTCTTAATGTTTCATGGTGGTACACTTTGGGAGGGGAACATTGTGGATGTGTTCACATCACAAAAATCCATGATAGTACACTGGATCTAACTTAGTGCCAAACGATATACAAAGAGTACATCCGGACAATTATTTCCTAGGACAAAGAGCAAACTTTTGTGCAACGTTTCTAGTACCTAGTCCACCAACACTTGGCCTTGATCACCACCTGCACCCTCCTAGGCATGTTATCTACGAGGTTAGTGCAAACCTTTATAGGGATCTTCTCGCACTCTTCCTGGACCCATGCTTTTGCATAAGGGGGTGAGCACTAGGAAAATTGCGAAGGATTTGAGCGTATGCAAGAGTATTGTGAACGATTTCTGACTGAATGTTATCTCTGAGACTAGCCACGCTGAGGTGTGGCCAAAGATGTCATAAGTCGATTGACTCCGTATTTTCACGGATCGTCTTCGTCGTACCATTGTAGGGTAAAATTACGAGCGGAGTG